TACTGAAGGCAAATATTATCCTAAACAGTCCTGGCATTTAGTGTTGCAGACATACCTGTTCCAAAATGCAATATAATTCAATACACAAAAATACCTTTCAGTTTAACACACTGCATTGAGAGCTTTGCATTGAGAGCTTCCCATGTTGACCAAAGCTCCAAAATGTCAGGAAATGACAACTGTCAGGACCTTGCCTTAAAGAGGCATGTCATTTGAGCGATATATACTGTACTTGGGATGGTATCCTATGCTGAGGCTACTTCCAGCTTTGCCAGCACCTTGGAGTTGGATGGCTCTCAGTGGCAGAGTGATGGGCCTGAGTCTCAAACATGTCTATTTCCTGGAATAGACACATGCAGTCCTCACAACTGAAGCTACCATTTCACATTTTAAGTACTCAGTGGGCAACCATTAATATCCATGTGGAATGACAGAGTTGGAGGAACCTTCCTCTAGTCCAACCCACTGATCTATTCAGGAGAAGCCTTTTTCTTTATTCCTCCTATGCATCTCCCATGCAGAGTTTTGGTCCATTTTGTAATCCTAAAACCAAAAACCTTTATAGTAGGTACAGAATGAGCCAAACAGGTGAAGTAGGGAGCTACTTCAGAGAGGGAAAGAAAGAGAGGGAGCTGTAAGAGCTTTATTCTAAAATATGCTGGAATCTGGTTTCTGAGGGCTTCTCTGAAATGGAATTTGGCCCTCAGGCCAAAAGAAGTTCAACATGCCTACTTTAAATGAATATGGGGATTCCGTGTGAGACCATGTGCTCCTCGCAGAGCTCTGGTCCTTCCCATACAGAGCAGTGAGGTAATCATGACTCTCTGCCAAAAGGCCCATAACACAAAAATTAACTACCTCAAGCCTCCGAAAGAACAAAGAGCAAGGGAAGCTAGGAGGGTGCTGTTCACCAGCTAAGGAATTGAGGCAGGAAGAAAGGGGCATGCTGAAGAGGGCACCCATCTGCCTAAAGCAAGGACGAATTGGTAGAATATCTCCTAGAGTAATCTCTGCTGCAGAAAGTTTAAATACAGTCATCTAGATTTCAAATTCTCTGTATCAGCTTCCTGCCCTCACCTCTACAGTATGTGTTGTGCTCTTGGGGAATGTCTTCTAATATGCCTTGGGGTTTTAATTGTAAAAGCTGTATTACAATATTTACACCCTGCCTTTTGACTCCACAACGGAGACCCCAAGGAAATCAAAAAAAATCTTGGGGGAAGGTTTTCTGTTTTGTTTTAAGAAATAAAACCAGTGAGAGCTATACTGCTTGGTGCCATGGAGAACACCCAGCCCAGCCACTCATGTATATGAAAGGCATCTGTTTATATTTTCAAAATGCAAATGTAGCCTACCTCAAAAGCCTGCCTTGCTAGATAAATTAACATCCTGAACAAATCAAGAGGAGTTCTCCCCCGCCCACCCCTCTTCTGACAATCATTAGCCATGACAATCATTAGCCACGTGTACCTACTATCTATCAGACCAAGATCTCATGCTGTCAAAGTCATTCAAAGAATATCCTGAAATCTGAACAAAGTCCCCTCCACCCAACAATTAAAACAAGCAGGCTAATCCCAGAATAATTACGCAGGCAAATCAGTTTTACCCCTTACACTGTATAAAGTAATGATAAGGTCACCTACAAAAGGAATCCCTACCTTTGATATAGTGACTTGTAGTCAGGGGGACTGCCTGGAGGAGGGGCCATAGATAACACTGAAGACGGCCCCCCTCCCCACACACCCACAACACCAAGCTCACAGTCTTTGGAAGAGATTCTGATGAGGGAAGGGTCCAATAAGGTTAATACCCCCCTTTGATCTCTGTCAAGGCAAGAATTAATTTACATTTCAGATGAAAAAGGTTGACAGCATGAAAAGGCATCTTGTTTCTGGTATGTGAATGTGCTGTAATAGATCGGGAATTCTGAAAGGAAGTTCTGAGGAAGCTAAAGGGATAAGCTTCACTGCTGCTTTTACTGGGAAAGAGATGAAAGGAAAACAAATTTCAGTATGAGCTGTGCTGCAGAAACATGTAAGCTGAGTGCTTCCTAAATTTCAAGACCACCTTCCCCCATGCCTTTTTTTCAAAATAAAAGAAACACATTTTAATTAGATGATTGCTTGACTGCCTTAGTAACAAATGCAACCAAGAATCTTTAAAGAATCAACGTTCCTCAGGATTTAAATGTGATAGCGATCGATCGTACTTCTTGTGAATGAAAGGCCGCCCCTTCACCACAGGCTGCAACCCCACTGTAAGCGCTTAGCAGGCTTAGCTACAGCACCAAGCACTGTTAGCATAGCAATAGCCATATACATTTGTAGTCTAATAAAACCTGGAGCAATGGCCAAGGCATTGCAGTTGCTTGCTGAAAGTTTGGAACCAGAGGGCAGTGTCCATCGCGGGCAGGACTCCAGCTCTGAACATGGTACACTCGCAAGAGCAGCTGCTGGCACCACAGGAAGTCATGCCTGCCAGTGCAACCCAACAAACTACCCCAAAGCTCCTTTCTGTGCCCTCTGCTGACTTTTTCCACGCAGAAAGTGGTAGTTTCTCAGGTTGTGCCACTTTTCTATTGTGCAGTAGAATTGGACTCTCCCACCAGAAGGATGAATGTAGAAATACAGAGGTAAAATATGGGATAATACAACAAAACTAGGAAAGAGTTAAACTAATTCCCCTGTAGAAATACTTGTAACTTCCTTAAGTACTGTGCCCTTGGTTATAAAACGATGTTGAGAAAATTGTGCATACACTTGTCTTAAAAATAACATATCAGGGTTTGATCTTTGTCTTCCCTTTTAAAGATGGCTAGAACACTAAGCCCATTTAAAATGATATGCAGAACATTGCGGCATACATCAAAACAAAGCTAGTTTTTTTTTTTTAATCCTGTTAATTGTATCAGTAGACAGTAGTCCCCCTCCAAGGATGCTTTGGCAATTGTTTTTCCAAGTTCCTTATCCATCCATCCATCCATCCATCCATCCATCCATCCATCCATTGTTAAGCTTATGTTCACCAGTAGTCTGCATGTTCCATTGCTTTACCCTGTTTGAGATACTGGAAAGAGTCTAACAGTATCTGGCGGGCCACCAACACTACTTACATCATGCAGGAAACCCACCGAACTAGCGAGGTCTGTTGACATCACACAAGTGTTGCTTTCTGCTAATAGGATGGAAACTGTGCTAGTGACCAGACACCACTGGATCCTCCCCATTGCCCCAATTATTTTACAGTATGAGAAATGCCATGCCTTTGGCAGTGACTGGCAGCCCTGTGATGTGGTATGAGAAAGAATACCTTGGAGTTCAAAAATAATTACAACATTTGCAGGAACATGACAATTATCCACATAAGGTATCCTCCACTAATAGGGAGCTCAGTCCAATTGCTGATATATTTAGCTAAAATCACACAAGAGGAAGTACCATCAATCTTGAGAGAGGCCCATGGCTTGAAGAAATGCAACAGCAAAGAAGTAACATTAATGGGGAGGAAAGCAAATGGCTCAAACAGGACTCTACGGACTCAGTGACTACAGAATGCTGTCTCTGAAGAACAGTAAATGGGAGAAAGAACAGAGTATTGTGGGGGAAAACACAGCTGGATAGTCAACGCCCTGTAAAGCAGTGTTCCATACTGAAACACTTAATTGCAGGACACCCTTGTATAATTTGGTACTGTTTGCACAGTAAGCCACTTTTCTAGGAACTGTCATTTGATTTTAAAAGGGCTATTTCCCTTGCTGTTATCGCATCAGTCACAGGCCACCCACACATGAATGGCACATAATGCATGCATTTGGGTCCTCCACCTAGCAAAATTGGGAGATACTGGAAAGGCGTTGTTTCAGGTATTGCTCTCCTTGTCTAATGCTGAGGAGAATGCAATCAAGCAACCTGCCTGGCAGCCACAGAATCCAGTGCTGGAAACAGCTGTGCCTTGCCCTGGGAGTAGTGCTGCCTGTTCTTCTGCGCAGGTATGAAGAGATAAATATGCCAGTCTTTGTGAGCTTTCCTGGGTGGTAGAAAGGAGTCATTTCCCTTCCACAGCAGGAATTAAAATCAAGCAGACACAGAACCACACAATGTGTGAACTGGACCTTAGGAAATGCTCCTAAACTGTTTGAAAAACAGTCTTGAAGAGCGTCTTGAAGAGCCATGTTCCTCCCCATGGCAGCGCACTCCCTGCCACACTGAGTGTGATTGGAGGAGCTTTCAGTCACTCCTGCTACAGAGTTGCCAGAGGGTTCCTCACCCTCAGAGGTGGCAGCCCATTTTGTCTTTGCACAGGGCACTTGGCACCCTGGGCTTGTTTTGTTCCAAATAAAAGCCACGTTCAGCACAGTGACCTCCACAGAAAGCAAACTGACAAAGCAAGCCCCCTTGAGGGTGGTCTTTCCTATTTGCATCCACTCTAGGAGCAAACCCTTCTGGGTGTCAACATAATGGAATAACTGCTGTGAGAAGTGTGGGAAATGCAGCCTTAGAGCTTTTGCACAATTCTCCTCTGTCAGGATGGAAGAGGGAATCGCCCTTCTGCATACCAGTCTGTCCCAACCTGATGTTCTCCAAATGCTCTCAACAGCCCTGGTCAGCAGGCCCATGCTCAGGAACGCTAGGAGCTGTAATCCATAGCATCTGAGGATGCCAGGCTGGGGAAAGTGGATCTGCTTTTACCAGCATCACACAGTTTTCCAAAAATATAGTTACCATCGTAGTACAACCCAGCATCTGGGGCACCTGTAAGACTAACAAAAGTACAGTTGCACTATAAGTTGGGTCATCTGGACCCCGGTCACAGAGAATTCTTTCATCAGAGGTGTGGCCATCACCTAACATGCAGCACAGAGAAAGCCCTGATCAGAAAGGAGTGTGTTTAAGCACCTTTTGTTTTGGCTGGACATTTTTTCGTCAGACACAAACATTGACATGGAAAGTTACTCACAGTCAAATAGGTGTCAGCTGTGAAAATATTGTTTTAATTACCTGCTTGAATATGAATAGCAGCATCAGTTCTTCTGTTCTTTATAGCCTTAAACTTCCTGCGTGCATCATATCCTCTCCAGGCTAAAAATACAAAGCCATGTGTTGTGAATTATGTTCACTTAAAGGAAAGGCGAACAGAGTCAGAAATGTGGCACAGTTTTCATTCGTAGCCCTCCTCTCCCATCCCACCCAAGTACTCTCAGTTCAGCAGCCCATCAAAGGTGGCTCACGAGGGGAGTCTGACGAAGCAGCTCCCTGCAACTTCAAACACTTTAGCTAGGCTTCTCTCATGGCTGGCATTCTTTGATTAGCTCTGCCACCTTCCTCACAGGCAGGAGAAACAGTGGCCATTGCTTGTCTGCCTGGGTAGAGAGCTTTGGATAGAATGCAAATTCAAAAGAAACACTGAACACTTGGGCTGAAACATTTTTAAAAGGTCCATTAAGTGGCAGCCTTCCTTCTCACCCCATTTCCCTATCCTAAACAAGCAGTTTTAATAGCAGAAATGTACTGGCTGCATCTTGAGAAGATGAAGGACAAGGTGCACTGAGTCAGCATCTTCTCAGATGTGCTCTAATACACTTCCAGCCCTTGGGTTCTGTCTTATACCACGAACTACTGAACTCGCATCTCTCTGCATTGCACTTAAGGACAGATGCACTGTGTATTATAGGGTGCCCCTATGCCCCTGTTTAAACAGGAATGCTTTGTCCTCAAATCATTTTTCCCAGCTGAGCCAAAGCAGAAGTATGATGCATGTGTGGAGCAGGGAAGGGCTAAGGCAGAGCTGGGTAGCAGATGTCCCATGTGCATCTTCCAGCCTTCTGCATCTCGGATCGGAAGTGATATGTCTCTCCGGCAGCTTTCAACCCAGCAAGCACCTTCTTAGAAGGGCCTACCCAGGAGGTAGAGTCTTGCAGGGGACACATGAGGGAGGGTACCTGCCAAATCAGAAGCAGCTCCTTATGCACGGTTTGTGCCCTGGGCTCTACTGCTCACCAGTGCTGGCCAGGCAAAAAGCAGTGTGCTTCTTGGACAGCATTTCCCCCCACGTAAAACAGAAATGCAAAGATCATTCAGAGGCCAGAGTGGCCATTTATGTGAAAAGGATATGCCAGCACCCCAAAAGAGGGTGTGAATTTGAATAAACGTGCATATGATTAATGCATAAAGGTAAATTCAGGCACACTTACTATGCTTAACATGATAATTTATCCCAAGTCACTGAGGGATTGGTGAGTCGGTGCAGCCTGCTGTCCAAGTGCTAACTCTCAATGAGCCTCTTCAAGGCCCTGCTCTCCCTCCTTATGGTTCTTCTGGTGGCAACTAATGGGCACTTACGCCCACTGATTCCCTTCTGCCCCACCCATTCCCTTTCACAACCAGTGGATCCCACTGATCCGGTTGCACAAGCAGGACCCACCAAGTATGCAGGGCAGATAGAAATGAGTAGAAGTGCTCATTGCTGAAGCAGGACAGGTCAGTGGGATGCCCACTGTGAGCTCTACTGACTTGCCCTGTTCCAGAAATGAAAATCAGCAGGATGCCAAAGAACTGGCAGAGACAGAAACACCCCACTGAATGCTGCCCTTTAGCTGTAAATTGGGCTTGAACCCTTGAAGTAGACAATGTTGCCAAACAGAGGACAGTTGCCTGACAGTGGTTCAAACAGAGGGCTGTTTTCCATAAAGTAGGACACTAGGCTACCTTATTAGAAGCTTCTGCAGTGCCTGTTTAATGTAGTGAGAAGATCTTGTCTACCGTATCCTATAAAACTTCTGAAAGACAATGCTTCCTGGGGCAGGGCATGCCGCTCTCTTAATAAACAGAGCATCCACTGAGCAGCTTCAGCACCCAGAAATGGCAGTGGGTTTGTTGGGACCACCTCATGTGCAAAGCACATGTCAATATCAGGTCTAAGCTGGACACCCGAACAGATCCCACAGTTACCATTCTATATTCAAAACAGCCATTCTAGTAATAAGACTGCCAGGCACTGAAATAATTTGGAATGCAGATGTGCATGCTTTGTTTCCTTAAGAAGAAGAAAAGCAACAGACAGCTTTTACATTTCTCCTGTGTGCTTAAGAGCCTTGAAGAGACATTTAACAACAATGCCCTTCCTTTGTTTATGAGCAAAGCCTATAAAAATGTTTAAGCAAAGACATTAGCGATTACAAAGTTGATAAGTTAGCAATGAATCTCTGTAATGCTGGCATCAGTTAACCCGAAGAAAGAGCCCACCACATGTTAGGATGTTTCCACATCCAGCTATTAAGTAAATGAATAGGCCATTTGTATGCAATTTAACAGCTTGAAACTCTGGGATAGTCTATGATATAGAGGAACTGAGAACACTTACCTGACTGAATAGCAACAGCGCTGTTTGTTCTTTTCTCTTTAAGTTTCTTGTACCTCCGAGCTCCAAGCCACCCTTTGGTATAAGCCTGCATGATCACGACCCTGCCTATAACTTCACGCAGAAATAAGTTCAACTGCTCGACGTGATAATACTTCAAGAAAACCTGAAATGCAATGACAGCATCAAATGCGACTGTTGTCACAAGAGAGTTCAGAGAGGCTATCCTGAGTAGCAGGAAAAAAGGACCCCTGACACTGTCCATTGAAAAGGGGGTTGCTTTGCAAAGAACTTTGGGGATGTTACACTGCAAATGTAACAACTCTTTAAAGTGAGGAGGTATTCTACTTTCCCTGGCTCAGCTCAGAATTGGGCAGAGCAAACTAACCAGTTCCTCCTGCACCTTAAAAAAAGCTTTTTTAAAAAACCCTCTTAAAAATAGCTCAGTTTTTCCAAGTCCAGTCCTGTCCAGTCCCTGCCACAGTCCTGATCATACAACCAGGCAACGAGAGGGAGCAGATTCCTCTCCCAGCTGTCCCACGAATCCCTCAGCTGCTGCAGGAGCGTCTCCTATGGCTGCAGCCTCTCCAGGAGGCAACACTGCAAGAAAGGAGATTCCTTCCTCCCTGACAGCCAGAATGCTACTGCAGCAGTGCCCTAAGGATCCCAGAAAAGGCTTTGGGATGCTCTAGGGAAACTGCACTTCTCAGAACTCAGGTACATGGGAGGTGGCCACAGCTGTAGCTCAGGTGCTGGGGAGGGAGAGTGAGAAAGAGAGGCCTCCTCCTAATTCTCTGCTGCAATGTCATGTAATTTCTTTCCCAGCTCAGATTGTCAGATTTTCTTGATAGGAAAAAACCGCTATTAAGAAAAGGCACCAGGTACCAAATGCACATTCTGAACTGGGTAATGAAACCCAGTATGGGCTTTGGAGACATCCCTTGTTCTTTAGAATGTTCCTGGTACCTCATATATAAAAGGCAAGTTTACAAATGGGATACAGATTGCTATGTACAAAGAGATCATTTCTCACTCTGTATAGAACCACACTGCCATTTGGACACTTGATAGCTGGAATGCGGTGGAGCAGCAAAATAATTCTCTGCCCATGGAAAACTATAGCTAGCGCATTGGGAGGAAGGGTTCAGTCTAGCACATTCCCTTAACATGGTAGTCTTCTGTGTGACACCCAAGCTCTGGTATATGATGTAAGTTCAGGAAGACTGACCAACTGTCAGTTTTAGCATATATGCCCAGAAGGTCCCACACAGTCAAACTGGCCTTCAGAAGAGGCCACGTCTCAAAGATGAGAAGATTAGTTAAAGTAAGACAAAGGGGAAAGCTGGGAGAGCCAGATCTCTTCAGGATGCTTGGAAATTTTTTAAAACCACAAAACAGGGCAATGGACATGAGTCAGACTTAGATGGTTTTACAAAATGACTTGACAAATATGTGATGGACACATCTTGCAATGGGTACTGATCAGGATAGCAAAACAAAGCCTCCAGAGGCAGTTTTTGTCTGACTATCAGTTGTACAGGTTGCTGCACCAGATCATACAGCCAGGCAATGGTAGGCCTTTAATTTGATCCAGCACAGTTACTGCTTCTTTATGTGCAGGCAGAATTTTTACAGGCAGAAGCAACTAAACATACAATTTTCCTCCACTGATACAGTTCCTGATACATCCTTTCTTTTCTGAATATTTACACTGGCTTGTAGAAAAACACAGGTGCTAAGCGGGGTACAGAAGACATTCTGTGCTACCAACTTAGATATGAACATGAGGAGAATCACTTGTTTAAAAGCCCCTTCCTTCCCTATCAACATCCCCTTTCACATATAAAGTTAGCAGGTCAGGGAGAAGGTTAAAAACCAGGTCTTCATGTGCTCTTGCTGCAGGTTTGACCCAGGTCAAAAACTGGGTCTTACCAAAATATGTGATGCCTTCATATGCATTCTGAAATGGTACAATCCTGTGAGGACTGAATCACATTTCATGTTTACCCTTTGAATCAATTCTTAATCTGTGACATGGAGCTCCACTAAACCCCAGTTTAAAGCATTGGCCTTCACTCCAAATTGACAACCATCTTGTTGGAATGCACCTTCCATTAAAGGCCCCTGGCCTAGAAGGGCCTCAACATTCTGTAGTAACAGGAGATAGCATTTCTCAATGAAGATGGCACATCCCAAACAGCTCAGAGGGGCTGCAATGTACCATGCCATTTTCGTGTGCATGCCCATGTTTTCCCAAAAACTGCACTGCTGACCAGGGCAGAAAATAATATTAGAAGCAATAGGACTCTACCCAGAGAAGAGTCATATTTTGGTCAAAAATGAAGGCACAGCTTCTTTCTATTTTCTTTAACAGGCATATATCACAAGCTTGTCACAATGACTATACCAACTTGCTGTACCTCAAGAACTGATCTTACCTTTGTTTTCCCAAGAGCCCACTTGTCTAACTTGGCTTTTTGCAGAATTGCAATGCAACTTTCTTTGCTGGGAAGTGGAGTCTCGTGTGCCTTGAAAGCAATGTAGTAATACCTATGGGAAACATGGGACAAAGAGAAAGCAGGTGACCAAAATGCTTCTGAAGTGACCAAATGGTCCCTATCCCATAATCAGATCTGAAGCTGAATAAAACGGATCTAGAAATAATCAGCATCCTCCACAGAGATATGTGGTTCTTGTGCACCTTGCCCAAGAATGAAGTATTGGGAACCAGCTGAAAATTATCTAATACAAAAGGATTCTGAGATGGTTTATTTAAACAGAAGTCTCACCACCACCTCTTTTAGGTATAGTAGAACCACACCCTCTAGTAGAGAAGTGTTTAGTCCTGTCTTAGCCAACTCAGCCATTCCCTGTGTGCTCCTGGATATTTTTATGAGCCAGGCACACCAAGGAAGAGATTTGACTTTTCAAGAATCTTGTTCACAACCTCAGACTGTACAAATGGGGAAGTATCCATTATAACTGGATGAGCAGGAGCTTAAGGAATTGGCCTGTATTAACTATGACATCCAGTCAGCAAAAACATCAGCGAGTTCATGTGGCAAGAGCTTTGCAAATCATTCACTATGGACTATTGCCTGGTATTCAATCCAAATTTCAAAGGAGTTGGAATCTAAGAAAGTTTTATCACTACCCATGTAACCTAGTAGGCCTTAAAATGGGTTCTGGTCCACGTTCAGTCAGATTCATTCCATGTTTATTGCCAATCTCCTTCAAAACACTTAGAGCTCACGCAGCTCTGCTAAGTAGAACCAACTGCCTGCATTATCTCCCCCTTTCAGAGGTCAACCAGGGCTCAACAGAATCATCTGGCAAGATGACAGGAAAATATTCAGCCCAGTGAGCCCCCTGGGCTGAAGTATTTTAACTGGTCCACAAGTGTATAGAAGTTCAGGATCCCAGGAAGTATAAATCCCATCAGGTAATACTCTGACACTGACAACAGAATTTAAGATACTTTTTCCCAAACCCAGATCACAATCATTCTCTCTCTCTTCAATACCTGATATTTGGGGTGTAGTTTTATGGCATTGGGATTCAATTATATATGTCAACATATGGATATATGTACTTTGTGCATAATTTCAGAATTTAAAGTTGACTTTTGACATTTCCAATGCTTTCAAATTCTGCTTTTAAAATTCCAATCCAAGGGACTTTTAAAATGTACCAACTTGTTAGAATTAATGGTTAGCTGTAAAAAACCACGAGAGGCAGAAAATAGCCAATAGAGCTATTTCACAAAAACATGTACAGAAGTTCATTAGTGCTGTAATGTGTAGGTTCTAAAAGTAGGTTCTGACTTTTGCTAGGAAACTGGAGTTCAAAGATGTGTTCAGCTATGACCTTCATGCAGTGACCTTAATCCAGTCTTAATGTACCTTACAAGGTTGTTCTGAGGATGGAGCAGGGTAACCCATTTCCTTGGGGTAAACTATCAGTCTGCTTATGCTGTTGACACACCAGAGGCATAAAGAAGCCACTAGTGGAAAGCCAGCAACATAAGCCAGTGTGATGGGTTCCCCCAGAAAACTTGTCATGCCAGCTCATGCTCCTGGCATACCAGCAGAGCTTGTCCATACTTGTGGTACGTCACCAGCATAAGCAGATAGATAGCACTGAACACTGCCCCTTGGATGCTCACTCAAACCCCTTGGAAGATGGGCAAGATACGAATCTGAAATATTAATAGTATAGGAGCAGCTGCCATGTGTCCACACAAAAACTTGCCCAAGTGGAAGAACGTATAAGGACTCCCTTTCTCCCGGCAATGCTATATCACAGAAGATGGAATGGCTCTTCCATGATTTCAGGGTTAGGAGTCTAAGGATGTATTAGAACAATCTATAGCCACTTCTTTCAAGCCATGGAATCACAGCAGAAAACACACTAATACACATGAAAATATTGCTTCAGCAGAGCAGATTTTATCAGAGTAAAATGTTAATTAACATATATAAACCAACAACACAAATAATGACTGGTTTAAAAATGACAATAACAACACCCCCACCACAAATCTAATGCCTCTTGAAGCTGGGGCCATGAGCAGGGCCTCAGAGAGCCGTCTTAGAGCCCAGGCAGGCTGGCTGCAGTGCCTTTAAGCTTTGAAAGGTTACTACTGTCACTTTAAATGAACTGGCAAAAAATGCAGTGGATCTAACATAGGTGACGGACTTCTTCTGCATACTGAAGGGCACTGTTGGCTTCAATCCTATTTTTACAAAACTGGCAGCAGCATCCATAATTGGAAATACTAAAAGCAACAAGCTCAGAATATAAAATTTTATTTTATTTTTTTACAGTGGCGAGATTCTTTTCCTAAAGGAAATTAAAACAAAATGAAGATTGTGTGCTACACACATGTGTTGGCTCCTTCAGTAGCTCTGCTCCTCACACCGCTGCAGCTGCAGCTCCTGCTCCCCCACCCCTGAGGAAGACAGTTGAGCTGCTCCTTCTTCTTGCTCATTCTCCAGTCCCTGATCACTGGAAGAGGGAAGGGGAACAGGCAGCAGCAAAGACAACCAGCAGCAGGGCCAGGAGGCTCTGGAAGACGGGAGTTAGCTCTCACGGGATTGTGGTCCTTGGCAAATGCCCAACAATTACGCACACACTCCACTTTTAACATTAAAACCACACACGATTTATATTAGAAACTCAAACACCTTTGTAGACCCTAAGATCATCTGCAGAGGTCCTTCCCTGGGACCCCCCACAAAACAAAGTGAGCAGATGACTAGTAAGAAGAGGCCTTTTCTGTTCTAGCTCTCCAGGTGTGGAAGAAGCTTCCCAGAGAGGCTCAGCTGGCCCCATGTTGTGATCTTTTGGGCCAGGTGCCTTACTTTGCCTGACATTTAGCCTTTCTGATTTTGTTATTTTTAAACATGTTACTGTATCCAAAATGTTGCACCGCTGCTGGATTTTAATTTTAATGTTTTGCACAGTTTAATATGATATTTCATCAAGTATTTTGCAGTTTTAATTATTATGAACCTCCCAGATAACTTTGGCTTATTGGGTGGCATATTTTATAAATAGTTAAAATGAACTGTTCTCCTAAAACAGAACATTTAATTTCTCAGAACACTTCACAACTCTTAAAATAACTTCTTGGAAGTTCATAATGTCCCAGATGTTGTTTGAACCATTCCAAAATTGGCAACACTTGTGATTTTTTTCTCCCAAGTGGGGAAGTATGCTGGAGAGTCTCCCTCATCCTCCAAGTCAATTCCAACAGTACCCACTTGCTAGAATCTTATTTAGTACATAATGATACTGAAAGATGGTTGCAAATACACTCGGTCAACATGTGTCAAGATTACAATAGTTTACAATAAAACTGCAAAAGATTATGAGAGATTTGTTTCACGCTCAAATAACCCACGGTGGCTGGGTTTGCACAGCATGGCAATCCCCCAGTCACCCCAGTTGCACAGAAGCTGAGAGTGCAAGGCGAGGGGCAATATCTACAGGCAAGATTGGGGTGAGGAGTAAGAGGAGCCCATGTTAAAGAAAAACTTTCATTTCATTACAAACTTTTATATTTGGCATGAGGATGAATGTTGTTAATTCTCTAAATGTGTTATTTTGAAATTTACTTTTAAGATTTATTTGAAATGTACATATAAATGTCTGTCACTAACTTCTCTGCCCATTTCAAGGGCCTGGTAACAATTTGTTCTGGTTTTTGTTTAGAAAACTAATTTAAAAACTAGACATGCTGCCACCTAATTGAAATTGAAATAAAACACAATTAAGTTCCAATTGTACCATTCAGAGAGTTCAAGCATATGCTTAACTCTCCATGGAATAGTCAGTCTATGTTCGTCTGTTATAGGCAATATTTGAGCTTTCTCAATAAATATCACAACCTGTAGCCTCTTCATGGGTGAAGGGATATTTTGCTTAGAAAGAGGGTGAGGACACACTTATGAGCCCCTGAAAAGCACCACTGTTCTTGGTTCTATCCTCACTGTCCCTAGGCTTCCATGGACATCTGAGGGAAGGATGTGGTCATGTGTAGACCTCGGTGCACCAATGCTTTCCTGGGTTCAAGAACCTGTTCACAGAGGTTCTGGATTCTGGATAACCCACCCACATAGAGGTCCATGTGGATGGGCTTCTCTGCCTCCATTGCCCATGCATGTATCTGGGTGGCACAAGTGGGACTGGGAGGATTTACAGTTCATCTGGTGAAGCTAAACTTGTGGCCTCACAAACCCTTTCTAGACACTGTCCCTTCACTTAAGCAATGTGTGAAGGATGCTTGTACTTTCTCAGCTGCTGGGGTCCAAAATGATTCTGGTCCATGAAAATGATTAACTTTGCAGATGCCACAAGGTCATTTGGGTTTTACCCCATGTTGGTTCTGCTTAGAGTATATGCATTTAAATGAATGGGACATCAGTTAAATTTCAATAACATTGAATGAAACTCAATATGGTGGTGCTTAACTATGAAATATGGTCATGCAGGAACCAGCTATGGCTCTCTCCCTTTCCTTCCTTCCTCCCACCGCCCCTCTCAGGTTACAGTCCTCCGCTGCATTAAGCTATAATCCACAAGGAACTCTACTTGGTAGACAAACTATCAAATTGCTGCAAATGTAGAAATGACTGGCTAGCGTTAGGCTTACTTTGAACAGTCATAGGATTAGCATGTTTTTGAAACAAGGTAACATGAAAGGAAAAAGATGGAAATTCCCCACCTGAAGGGAAAAGTATTTTAAAGAAATAAAGAAACAATAGCAGCATATTGGGTGTGTTTCAGAACAAGAATGTAACAGAGAATGAAAAAAAAGTATAATGTGGTCCTTTGCATATTACTCATCACTCACACAGAGTTCAAGGGACTGCAGTTCCAAGTATTTGTGCATAGGATTATAGTCTGAGAGATAATAATTTGTGAATAGGGTGACAGCATTCCTTGTGGAGCATAACAGTGTCTGCAAGTCTGTCCCAGCTTCTTCCAGCAAAGTATCTCTGCAAAAAGTAGTCACCATGTAGCCACACCAGCCAATCCCCCATCCT